AAGGTGAAGAAGTGGGCTATCACACTGTGGTATTAGCTAATGGGATCCAGTTGAACAGCAAAAAAGACAAGCACAAATAAAGTGACCAAAAATTGCTAATGTTTGGAAGGCCGTAGCGCTAGCTGTTATTTTGCAATGCACGAAATATCTACCTGGTTGTACACGGCAAAGCCTGCAGATATGAAAAAGTATAAACATTATGTAGGTCTGAGGTATTTTTGTTACACTATAGGCAGTTGTTTACACCCATGCAACGGGGTCAAATCGTGACCCGGCAAATGCCGTATCGTAGAGAATAACGCGTTCTACGGTGACCTGCGGTTCGACTGACAAGGTCTGTGGGTACTAAGAGTCCGCAGCAAAGATCAAAGGTCAAAACATCATCCAGACTGAAAACAGAACTCTCCATATGATGATGCAGTGTAATAATTACACAGTCTCCATGAAATGCTGCGTTCTGTTTTCAGACTGGATGATGTTTTGGTGTATATCACTTACATGAGATTTTAAAAGACAAGTCTACTCTAAAGCCAGTGTTAACTCTACATACTATAGATAATACAACAGTAATAATATACAGTTGCTAATTATAACAGAGCCAAAAGGTCTTGGGATGGGAGATTTTTCTGCCCATATTTGTTAAGGAGATGTATGAAATAGGGGATTGGGCTATTGCTGTATCAATTTTGTTTTCTAAAGCGGGAAAATGAACTGAGACTTCAACAAAAATGTAGCGAATTTCAAACTTAGGTCTTCCCTCCTTACTGGAGGCTGAAAATTATCCGTAGTGCACGTATTTGTATACGGTCAATCAGCCTGGTTTAAATTTGTTTTGCCGTAATGCTGGAGGTCCAAACGGGAGCTGCATATTCTAAAATAGGAGGTATATAGGTTTGATAAAAGGCACTGAGATGGTATGAGGGGAGCCCAAAACATTTCTCATCAATTTCTTTTAGTAAGTCGAGTCGAGAACTAGGTTTGCTTATAATGGATTCAACGTGTGCTTGTCCAATTTCAAATTATGGGATAGCCATAGACCAAGAATGTAACCATCATTGGTATATTACAGGGGCCTACCATTGACAGAAATTAAAGGAAACCATCATTAGCTTACATTTGTCAGCATTCAAAATCAGATCATTTTTGCTTGCCCAGACGTTCAATAATATTGATCAAGCTATGGTTGGATAAAGCATTATAATATGGGTTCATAGCAGTCTACTCTCACAAATAGAAAGGTCGACAACATATTTATAGTGATCTAAACTGTTGACTTGGAGGGCATCATTCACGTAAATCAGAAAAAGGATGGGACCTAATTTTGTACCTTGCAGGACTCCAGGTGAAATTGCTTTACATGGTGAGGTTTTACCAGGGCAGACACCACATTTGCGTTGCGCAGTAGAGGCTAATACCTTTGAAAATCCTTTTTTTTCTCTTGAAAGTTTTGGTCCATTTTGGGGATTTTTGGACTGGAAGGCACAGGTAGGGCCTAAACTTTCCAACATTGGTCAAGTTTTGTTTATTTCACCAGTTTAGTGGGCGTTGTGAGAGATGTGAGTGGTTAGGTCTTGTCTGGCCAGGCGGATGGATACCATGGAAAATGTAGGTCAAAGTTGAGGTTTTGTTACTATCATCAGCTGTGGCGGGAATTTGAGCTGGTCGACCCCCTGTTTCCTTTCTATGTGGGAATCAGACCCTTGTGGCTACCTGGTGCAGAAAATTTTTTTAGATTGAAGTATGGGCAAGTACTTTCATGAGGACTTCTAATAGTGTATTTAACGGTGCACACACCAGTTCTTCCGCGACAGGGGTCCACAATAGTCCGTGGTAAAAAAGTGACGAAAGGGTTTTGAGGGTCCAAGTTTGAGGTGACATAATAAATTCTCATAAACTGCCATGAAATATCATTAAACATTAACATGGCTGAAGAGTGTAAGAAATGGTGATTTTGGGGTAAAAATTTCTTTTGGCTCCGAACCTTACTTCCGGGTATCCTTGCGCGCCAAGTGTAATCCGCCCGTTTGACCTAGATTTTGCTCTGCGCCTTCCTAGTAGCGGATTTGCAACCCCTCGCGCTGTGGACGATTAAAAAAATTACAGTGCTAGAATTTTCTTTATAATTTACTCGGGTATAGTCAAGGTTTGGGTCTTTCTGCCAGCATCAGTCATTTCTGCCGGAAAATTATTTTCTATGGGATTATCCTACGTGAAAATTCGCAATTTTGTGCATTCATTTTGGAGTGAAAATAATGTTTTTTCCGTTGATTTTACAAAACTTAAAAAGGTTGAAGAAACCAAACTCAGCTGGTCTTGTAGCTGAAGGGATATCCTTTCGTCCCATATACAGTTATTCTCCTTCCAAACTACTCTACGGCAGAGACGGTCGCTAGATTTGAGGGTGTGCAGCTTCGAATAGAAACGCCAAATAAACTGGGGTGTGCCCCCTTAAGCATGTGTTCCTATGGGCAAATCTAATAGTACTGTCTGCCCACCATGATATCGGACACACTGTGAACAGTCGGAGATGCATGGAAGTTGCATAGCCAAGGCATATCTCACCTAAGTAACCCGCATTCTAACATTTTATTGATGAATTTTGTGTGTTAAATCCTGGAAGACTGTTTGGACATTTTTTGGCATTTCAGCATTAAGAAACTAGAGTTCCACGATCTCATACCTTCGCCAAATGATGTTAGCTTTTATGAATAAGAACTTATATACAATGTATTAATCCCCCTGATTATGCAAATAGGATCCGCAATTGCATGAATTATATCTGTTGATCATAATCTCCACCAACAGTCTTATTTTAACAAAGAATGCCATTATAGCATTTCCTCATATACTATGCAAATGAGGTCCTTATTTGAATAAGTTATGTTAAATTATGTTTACCTTCACTAAACTCCAAACACCCCAAGTATAAAATTCCAGGCAGTTATCACTATGCAATTATAACATTTTTCTCATTAATTATGCAAATTAAGTCTTCATTTGCATAATCGATATCTGCCTGTGTTTCTCTCGTTGTTAATAACATATGTCGCAAGCTTGAACTTCCTATCATGGAATGCAGCTGATTAATAGAATTTCCTCATTAATTATGCAAATTACATCCATATTTGCATAATTGTAATATCATTATGTCAAGCATTACTCAAGCTACCTACATACCAAAAATCATGATGATCCATCAATCGGTTCTTGAGTTATCCTCCTTTAAACATTTGTCCTTTAAACCCCCCTGCAGTTCTAGAGCAAGAAACTAGGGGGCCCAAACTCATGTCATGTCTTCCCCAGCACAAGAGCTACCTGCCATCCAAATTTCGTCACCCTAGCATGTCTGGATCATGAGATATCAAAACCGGAAGTTCAGCTGCAGTACCATGACAAGCCGCCAGGGGGCCCAAAATCAAATCAGTTCGAGCTCTCATCAAGACCTACCCACCTACCAAATATCAAGATAATCCATCTAAGCTTTCTCGAGTTATGCTGTTGACAGACACACAGACACACACACAGACACACGGCCAGGAAAACATAACCTTCTCCAATTCTTGGCGAAGGTAATAAAGAAGTCATGACATCATGGTAGTCAAATAATGCACAGTTGACATACCTGTACTGTATACAATGTATATGGCTGCCAAACTGGTTGGGGTCAAGAACTTTAATTTAGTAACATCAGACTCATTTTGCTACTAAGTAATTTTTATAGATGACATCAGCGAAAAAAAAAACAAGAAATTTTGTTGGCCTCTGACAGTGGTCAACATGGCAAAAAATGGGCAAAGATGTTTGTTGCCATGTCAGAACGTGTATGGTAGATAACCATGAAGAGAGGAGACAAGAAAAGGCTTGATTCAATGTTGTTTTTTTTTACTTTGATGCAGTGATATGTGGTGATGGCTGTGTATATGTGATGTTCCCACTGAATCAAAACCATCTGTACAATAATTGAGTCAACATTTGAAAATGTAGGAACCCTGTTTTTTTCGGCCTGCCTTGTTTTTTTTCGCCTGCTCGCATTGGATTTGGAATCTGTGGAGGATGTCATCCATAAAATTTACTTGCTGTGGCCTAATGATTCCAGGAAGTATTATCCATGGTGTCTTTTTCGGGATTGGAGAAATAAAGGCCTGCTTCCATATTGTACAGGGACAATACCTTCCTCAAGGAACGAGTTGGAAATATGAGTAAGAACTTCAGCAAAGCATTTGACAATTTTAGGAGACAGGTCATCGGGACCACTGGTTTTATTCGTCTTAAGTCTCTCAAATCCAAGATTTTTTAAATTTCCCATTAAAAAATGGGGGCTTTTAGGGTGATGAGAGGTAATTCATTCACAATTGCAGAGAAATGGAATAGCCTATAACATTTGTTAGTCTCCTTGGAGTAGAATGTGATCAACTGTTCTGATGAATATCTTATTTGCATAAGGCCACACCAATTTAATTTCTTGGTTAACGGATTTTTCTAGAAAAACAATGGAGCGGGCGGGCGAAAAAATAAAAAAATAAAAACAGGCCTAGGCATCCTATTATGGCCCAAAATGGTACAATAGGAGCCATGAATTCAACACACCAGGCTGGTTCAAAATTTAAACAATGAATTTTGAACTTTTAATGATACCACTGCATTGAAAGATGGACTAACTGTACACATGTAACAACTAGGAGGAAAAGGACTGTTTTCAACTGTTCAGGGCAACATATGAGCATTTTTCATTTTTCTGGTTTTGTTGAAATTTTTTCCCTTTCCAGTTCTTTATTGGGTATTTCTACAGGCTATAACAGCGGATAAAGCAAACTTGCTTTGCACCGCCGTGCATACCGGCAAAAAATTAGTTGCACGACACCAAATTTACTTGCACCAAGTTGCACACAGAGGGGTATTTCGACCCCTGAACTACTGTACGGGCCTTTACTTGGATTTTAAACATCAGTGCCTATACATTCTTGATGAGAGATGATGAGAGAATGCTGTGTATTTTTCAGATGTATGCTGAGATGAAGTCCAGCCACATTGCTCATTCCTTTAAGAAGGCTGTGGCTACTAAACAGGGCATAGTGAAGAAAGGCGGCATGTCTGGAGTGTCTGTGGAGGGGACCACACATTCCTATTCAGAAGAGGAGAAAACAGCCTTTGCAGACTGGATCAACAGTAACCTGGCAGATGATGAGGACTGTAAGCCCTACCTGGACATTGATGTCAACTCAGATGAGCTGTGGACCAAACTACAAGATGGCATCCTCCTCTGGTCAGTCAATATCTGGTTATCATTATATCAAGTTTGAAGCTGATAAAGATCCCATCACATTTTCCATACTACTAGCAATCTTTTCTCTCCTCCTGTCCTAAAGAGTCCAGAAAAGAAATTCTCTCCACCCTCTGTGTATGTGCTTGAATGTGTATATTTCTTGTAGGTTCCTATTAAAGTTTTGTTGTGCTAAACTTACTGTTTCTTTTCTGTGCCCATTTCATATACAATTTAGAAATGAGGTCTGTGTGTTTGATGTTGACCGTACATGCATATGTCGGCCCAGGCCCTTCCCCCTAAAAACATCATGTGCTAAAACCCTTGAATGTGTAATTTTACATTATTAAATTGAGCTTAGTTGAGCAGCAAAATTGCCCCTCAAAATGCAGGTGATGTTGGCATGTACATGTAAGAAAATACAGCAAACAAAATTAAGATGACGGATAGGAAAAAATCAGGCTAGGTACATGTAGAATATCTTCACCTTGTCCCATCCTCGTCTGGAGGGTCGGGGATTGTGGTAGCGTGCAGCACAAGCCTTCTCCATCCTTCTCTGTCCTTGGCCATATGCGTGCAGTCAGCCAGGGACCTGTCATCTACCCATCTCCTACGCTGCCTCCCTCTACTCCTGCCACAGATCCGTCCTTGCAGGATGTGGGTTGAGATATTCTGTGCTCTCATCACATGTCCGAAATACAGCTTAGTTTCCTGCTTTTAATCGTGTAGGAGTGATCTTTCAATCCCCAACTCTTCAAACAGATGTGCATGTTTAAGTTGTACGGTGTTCTGTCCAGCTTACTCTCAGCAGCTTCCTGTAGCACTTCATCTCGAAGGCCTCGATTTTCTGTGTGTCTTTCGCATGGAGTGTCCATGCTTCACCTGCTCCAGCTGTACCCCCTGACAGAAGATCCTCAGTACTGTGGGTTGCTTAGTTGCTGCCATGACCTTGGTCTTCTTGGTGCTCATCTCCAACCTGTACTGTAGAGACACAGTGTTGACTAGGTCCAGCAGCTCCTGAAGTCTCTCAGGTGATGTTGCAATCAGGGCGATGTCGTCAGCAAACCGTAGATTGTTGACAGCCCTCCCACTGATGTTCACACTGATCCACGAGAGTTCCCCAGCAGACTCTCTCATCACTGCTGCCGAGTAGAAGTTGAAGCAGATCGGTGAGACCAGACATCCCTGACGCACACCTTTCGTGACTTGGAACCAGTCAGTTAACTCGTCCTCCACTCTGACCGCTGCCTGTTGTTGTCTGTACAACTGTTGTAGTGAGTTGACTATGCATCTGGACACGCCTGTATTCTCCAGGATCGTCCACACTGTTCTATGCCTTACAGAATCGAAAGCCTTTTTTAGTCAATCAATGCCATAAAAAGCTTTACATTACTGTCACATGCTTTTTCCATTAGGATCCTGACGTTGAATATTTAGTCCCTGGTTCCCACGTTCTTCCCCCATCTGTTCCTCTGCAAATTCCTGGTCTGCCACCTTTTCCATGCGGTTCCGAAGAATACGCAGAAGGATCTTGCTGGTGTGGGAGATCAAGGCGATGGTGCGATACTCTGAACAGTCAGTTCCTGGTTTCTTGGGGATGGTGATGAACACTGACCGTACCCAGTCTGTGGGCCAGTCACCAGTCTGCAGGATCTTGTAACAGAGGCAGCACAGGGCTGTTGTTACTGCTGTGTTGCCAGTCTTCAAGAGTTCTCCATATAGGACATCTACACCGGCAGCTTTGTTCTTTGGGAGGCGCTTGATTGCGTGTTCCACTTCAGCTTCCAGGATTTCTGGGAAAGACTAGTCTCCTGATGCCTTACTGAGTGTGTCCTGTTGGTCATCAGTGTCAGAGTGTGGTGTGTTAACGTTGTCAATGTACAGCTGTTCGCAGTACTGCTTCCAGCGCTGTAGGATGCTTTGGAGATCAGTGAGCACTCGGTTGTTTTTGCTCCTGATGTTCCTCTGCTTGGGTTGGAACCCTCTCCTCAACTTCTTGATGATGCTGTAATAAGACTTCCTGAGTGAGCTGTTACCTCCGAGTCCTCGCTCCATCTCCGCTCACTGCTCCTCCAGCCACCTTGCTTTGTCCTTTCTTGCCTCACTTTGGACTCACTTGTACACCTCCCTGTAGATCAGCTTCCCACTTTCAGTGTTCCGGCGTGCTTTCAGCTCACACTTCTGTCTATAGTGTCTCTTGTGAGATCCATGGGTGGTTTGCTTTCCTACAGGTGCTTTTCCCAGCACTTTCTCTGCTTATTTATGTATTTATTAAGTTTTACCACGTACATTATACACTGTGGATGGCATGGCGAAACAGGTGTTTCTGACATGAAACACCTTTTCAAAGCCGCCATACCAATAAAATGACAAAACAATACATTAAAAGTAATCAAATCACATAATACAATTTGAGAAACAAATGAACTACAAGGCAAGTCAACTTATTAACATTGTGAGAGTTTTTGATTCGAGACAACAGATAACGACAGTTATATAGCCAGCAGTGATATCACAGTTAGCACGGTCTTGTAGCCAGACAAGTAACGCAACCACAAGATAACTGCCACGTACAGGGTTGCTCTAAACTGTAAGTTTGGCAAAATCTGTTGTACATAAAAGAGGAGAGTTTCCTTTCAAAGGCAACCACATCAGTTAGGATTGAAGCCCTAATTCCTAACCCTCTAGTATCTGCATCAAGCTTGTTCCAAATCGTTGTAACACGTGGTATAAACGAAGATGCAAAAGAGGATGATTTTACTCTTGTTGGAACTAGCATGTGTGCCCTAGAGCTGTGGGGTGTTCTTGAAGAGAAGTCAGCCAGCCTCGCAACATCTGCTGCAGCTTTAATGGCCTCTGTAAAGGACTCAAGAGAACTCATCTTCCTGTAGTAGGTTTAGGGCCTCTAATTTGTTGCACACTTCAATGTTTTAGGTTTCCTGGACTGTTGGTGAGTCTAGTGCATCCAGATTAAGGTGGAACATGTAGAACACTGATGATAAAAAAGGACCAAAAATAAATATAAAAGCATGTCGGTCTAAACCAATACCACATACAGTACCAACAAACACTGGTTCATGTTTATAGCATGCATCAGCTATCCCAATTGGATGCCGTCGCCCTAACCTGATGCTCAAATCTGGCCTGCTTTGCGCTGTTGTCTTATGAAACGGGATTTGTTTTATTTTTACCATGTGTATATAATACCTGTAGGGGGAGAGCCATGAACAAAATTTTTGAGGTGTGGGGGAGGGCCATGGAAAAAAAACTGAACTGACAGCACACCAGACCCACCCACCCCCTGATAAATATCATACAGTCCCTTAGTGTCTCCCCAGAAGTTTAAGGGGAGAACCTCGACCATTTTGCGATTTCCAGACACATAGAAACCATTTCCTGCAACTTCAGGTACAGTAGATAAGGCAAAAATCTCCAAACCTGTTCAATTAGCCTCCGGGCACAAATTTGCACTAAACTTTTCATATAATACTGCTGAAGAAGTTCCCAAATTATCTTTTTTGTACAATATGTTAGCCGTAATATCTCCTTCCTCTTCAAATTATGCTACCAGTACAAGCTCACCAGCTCTTTCCATCATTAAATGTATTTCTTATCATGGAAGTTCATCTGTGTTGGTAGTAATCATAGTGCGATGCTACACTTAATTCCAACACAAAGATGCATACATGATGTAGAGATCAAAATTGTCACTTTCATCGGGAGAAGTAATGACCAATCACTTACAAACGAAAAATCTGTGAGCGTTACGGAAACGTGACCGTATTCATACGAGACACGACGGCTATGTGCCAGGCAGTAGATCCACCATCTCTGTTAAGTGATGGCTGGAGTGCCTTGATATATATGTGTGATCTCTATGTACCCTTGTGTTGGAATAAAGTTGAGCATTGTACTATAAAAGTATTTCTTATTTGTTTTGTAGCAAAATGATCAACCTGTCGTGCCCAGACACCATTGATGAGCGTGCAATCAACAAGGCCAAACTGAACCACTACAAGATCACCGAGAACCTGAACCTGGCTCTGAACTCTGCCAGTGCCATCGGCTGTAACATCGTGAACATCGGAGCTGATGACCTGAAGGAGGGCAAGCCTCACCTGGTGCTGGGTCTGCTGTGGCAGATCATCCGCATCGGTCTGTTCGCTCAGATCGACCTGCAGCATAACCCAGGTCAGAACAAGTAAAATCTGAGATTTTATACCTTTTTATTGTATATTTTATATGTTGTTTGTTATGTACAGTTGATGGTGTTGAATTTTGTGCACAACAACAATTGTTGCGCGCCGCAGGACTAGGGTTTTAAACAAAGAATTTATTGAGACCAGACACCCCTCTGTGCGAGGGGTCATATAGGTGGACCAGACCGAGAATATGTTCAACACGCCAAAGGTCAACGGTCGCGACCATTTTCAGGCTCAAAGGGGTGTTCTGGGGCCACCAAAAGGCACCATTTTCACGCCTGAAAACACATATAAAACAAAAACAAAAAAAGTGCATCATCTACAGCCCAATAGCAAAGCATACACCGAGTCCCCAAAAAATCCGTCCATCCAAACGCGAGAAACAGCTGCGAACATGAAAATCTAAATCTCTCACAAAACCCTTCCGCGGAAGGATGTCTCCTCCCCCGGAGGTAACAATGGCCAGGCACACAAGGACTTCATGTATGAGGGGGACCGATGGTCTGTGTGTGAAAAATTTGTGTCTGAAAATTTGCACAGTCATGAATATGTCTGAAAAAATGCAGTACCAAATTCTTAGGCAGAAAAATCTATGATTTTCCATCTACAATATGAAATTTTTGTTTTAGGTCCCTTGGGAATAGGTACATTTGAATTGTAAAAAATGGAACAATGTAGGTGTAAATGTTTTGTATTATAAATTGTAACAACTTAAGCTTGATTTAATATTTTCTTAAGCAGGTTCTTTCAATAGAAATTTCAGCAGTTTGTACATAACGTAACCTTTGAAAATTAAGAATAAAAAATTGAAGAAAAAAACAAGCCTATTTTACTATGTAGACTTAGTGAAGAATGTTACAATTTGATACTCAATTCAATTGACTTTTTATTTTAAAAAAATTTTAATTTTTAAAAAAGTCTAAAACAGCAAAATGTTCTTTAATACGTCAGGAATCAGATTGCAAGTTTGTCATACGCACATTCTTCACTCTCACAAAACCCCAGTCCTTGGAGTAGAGTAAGGAAACAGTCACAGTTTTTAAAGGTTTGATGGAAAAACGGCACATTATATGCCTACTTGGCATCCCAAGAAGGACAAGCTTGTTTCTGAACATTTGCGACATGCCAAATCAATCTAAATGTTCCAGTTCTGACTGAAGTCAGTTGTTACAAGAATAATAGTTGCACAATAATACTTCAAAATGTGGTTGAAGTGCTTGTTATTAAATTGATCATTTTTTTTCTTGAATACCAAAAAATGATTAAATTTTGACTTTGACCACACCAATTTAATTTCTTGGTTAACGGATTTATCTAGAAAAATAATGGAGCGGGCGGGCGAAAAAAATAAATAAATAAAAACAGGCCTAGGCATCCTATTATGGCCTAAAGTGGTACGATAGGAGCCATGAAGTCAACACACCAGGCTGGTTCAAAATTTAAACAATGAATTTTGAACTTTTAATGATACCATTGCAATGAAAGATGGAATAACTGTAACAACTAGGATGAAAAGGACTTTTAAACTGTTCAGGGCATTTTGCAGTTGATTCTGAATTTTTATTTTTAGTTGCAAATCAGGAAAAAATGAAGCGGGTGAATCCTTTAACCAAAAAATTAAATTGGTGTGGCCTAAAGTGTAAAATGTGTGTTGCCTTGTTGACATGAGTGTTTCTGTTGTGACATGTTTGTTGTGTTTCAGGACTTGTCCAGCTGCTCCAGGAGGGGGAGGATATGGAAGACTTACTGAAACTGTCCCCAGAAGAACTGCTGCTGCGCTGGGTCAACTATCACCTGGAGAAGGCCGGCCATCCCAAAAGGATCAGCAACTTTGGAGCTGACATTAAGGTAGGGAGTGTAAGCATTTCTGGCTGGTCTCTTTCCCAGCACTGTCCAAAATTCATCACTCCACATTTATATAATTATCTGTACCAATAGTTAACTGATTATGATTCTTCTTCATGGTCCTACGAGACCGAAATGCCTACTAGTTAACTAGACCTGCCATATTGGTTACTCCCTAAACTTGTCTATCTAATACTGTCCCTTCACATTTGGAGTTCTAACAGAAAGTTGGCCCTATTGCAGGACTCCGAAGCGTACACCTATCTGCTGAATCAAATTGCCCCACCTGACAGAGGAGTTGACCTTGGACCTATGAATGAGAACGACCTTGAAGAGCGTGCAGAACTCATGCTGCAGAATGCAGACAAACTGGACTGCAGGTAAGTCTGTAGACCAGGCTAGACACCTAGCTTCAGTGTACAGTGAACCAGTAACACCTAGCTTCAGTGTACAGTGAACCAGTAACACCTAGCGTCAGTGTACAGTGAACCAGTAACACCTAGCTTCAGTGTACAGTGAACCAGTAACACCTAGCTTCAGTGTACAGTGAACCAGTAACACCTAGCTTCAGTCAACAGTGAACCAGTAACACCTAGCTTCAGTGTACAGTGAACCAGTAACACCTAGCTTCAGTGTACAGTGAACCAGTAACACCTAGCTTCAGTGTACAATGATGGTCACAGAAACATCAGCTCTTAAAAATAGGTTGTTGTGAATGTACAAAGTCACAATCGTAATTACGCCATGTGTATGTTTTGGCTCAATTACAATTACTCAATTAAGTTTACGATGGTTGTACTGTGCTGTCACTTCTAGGACTACCAAACTAGTTTCACTTCTACAAGTACACTCAAGGCTACCACATCTATTTTTGGGTGAAAAACTGTATAAAATCAATTTAACTAAATAGGAAATAAGGTTTAAGGGTGAAATCCGTTGTGTTGATGGAATTTTTCAGCCTGTTTTATGTATGCCTACATGGCGATGATGACAATAAGTTACTGTAAATACATGTATCTGTTATTCAGTATTTGCAAGGGCAATGGGCAACCAAGTTTTTACCTCCATGAAAAATGGAGGTATTGTTTTTGGCGTGTCTGTCTGTATGTCTGTGTGTCTGTGTGTGTGTCTGTCTGTGTGTGTTTCCACAACTTTGTGGTCAGCATAACTTCAGAACACTTTTATGGATTGCGATGATATTTGGTGTGCTGGTAAGTCTTGGAAAGACAAAGGTCAAGGTCAAATATGGGCCTCCTGGTGGATGACCTTGGTACTGCAGCAGAACTTCCGGTTTTTGTATCTTTTGTCCTGAACAAGCTATGGTCTTGACTTTTTGGTGATAGATAGCTTATCCTGTCAGCAATAAGTGGCGTAAGTTTGGTCCCCCTAGCAGCTTGTTCTGGAACTGCAGGTTAGTTTCTGGTAAAAACTTTCAAAGCCAATAAGTCCAGAACGTATTTTCATCATTTTTGGTGTGTAGGTACCTGAGAGACAGTTGTACATGATTAAATGCAAATGAGGACTTAATTTGCATAATTAATGAGGGAATTCTATAATTACAGTGTTTCATATAATGGTACTGCTGTACATGTAATCTATTTAATCTGTGGCAGGTGGAACATCAACAGATACCAATTATGCAAATGATGACCTAATTTGCATAATTAATGTGAAAATTGTGTGAATCCTTATTGGTGAATGATGGGAATTTTATACCTCGTAACATGTGTAAGTTACTTAAAGGTTTGCATCGCTATGCATATATTATGTTAATGTAGCGGTTATTTGCATAATTAATGAGGAAGCCCATATTTCATGGAGGTATGAGATCTCGGAACTCTTGGTTAAAATTATTTTTCCTTTTTTTCTTAACATATTTTGTACTCTGTCTACTGAAAGAGGATTCCCAACAATCATACACTAAGCACATTGCATTTGTTGGAAAGACATACATTTAGCCATTTTTACGATATGTTGTTACCAGTTGTTAAGTACTTATATACACACTGTTTACATACCTGCACACTATACTGTTCCCAATCTGCAATACATGTACATGTAAAACTTCATGGAGAATTGTTGCCTATGGACACTTGTAAGTTTTTGCTGTTGTTTAGAAATGGAGCTGGAATTTAGCTGGAATAAGTATATTTACTTATTCCAGCTTGTTTTTCTCTACCTGTCAGGGCCTTTGTGACACCTAAGGATGTTGTTCGAGGGAACTCCAAGCTGAATACAGCCTTCGTTGCCAACCTGTTCAACACTTGGCCAGCTCTGGACCTGCCAGAAGAGATGCCAGACATTGAAGGTAAGAAGGTAGAAATCCCAGGGTGCCACCCTACCGTAGTTTTTGTCTTGCATTTTTCACACATTAAGGTTTGGACGTAGTGTTGACCTAACCTTGGTTGGTTAAACCCTTGTTATAAACATGATTTACCTATGAAGGGATTTTTCTCTGCATTGATAGTGCCATAGGTTTGATAAAAAGTCTGCACAAATGTTTTGGATCATGATATGGAACAGTTGGGAGAGCACACCAGGTTCAGTCTTAGATAACCCGCAGACAAAATCAGTCAAGCAACGGAAAAAAACAGCTGACAAGGATTTTAAACATGTTAAAGATGGACTGATTCGTATCATATGCACCAGCTGGGCTGGAATCATAGAAAACTGCTCACTCTATCATTGAATAAAAAGTTATCTCTGATTTTTCTTTAAAATCCTCTAAAAATGCAGGAAATATCATTTCAGAAGGTTCATTTTTCAAAATTTTCCCATCGGGATCTCTGTTGGTAGAATAATTTAATTTAGCAATTCTACCAGACCGGAGTTTTTACCCTGACCTACATGTACATGACTGTACATGTACATGATGCAGCCATTGACACTGGGTATGTTTGAGGCATTGGGGAGGACTGAAATTTGCATCATTCTGTAAGCATACTAAGTATAGTTAGTACCTAATATGAGTTTCTTGGGAATGTTCGATATACAATTTAACACTTTCTGTGTTTTGTTTGTAACTGCTACACAGGAGTAAAGCATACATACATGTCAGGAGTTGTAATGAATAGGCTGAGTATGTTTACTTGTAGAATATGGCATGTCTCCTTGCCTGTGGTGACAAGTGTCTCCTACTTACATGTACCTCATCCTTTCCCTTCATAAGCTTTTCTTTCATGTTTGTTATTAACAGATTAGTTAAATCAAAATGCTTTTTTTTTTTCTACAAATATTCAAGTCTCAGACTGTTTGATTTTATTTGTAACATGATTGCAACTTGCAATGGCTGCATGACTGTGTACCTGTACATGTATGTCGGTCATAGCTGGCATGTCTGGTCCTCATACAACTTTCTCTTTGTAACGCAGGGCTAGAGGAGACGCGTGAAGAGAAGACATTCCGCAACTGGATGAACAGTTTAGGGGTCAGCCCGTATGTCAATCATCTCTACAATGACCTGATGGACGGCCTGATCCTGTTCCAGACGTACGACAAGGTACGTTTGTCTAGACTGTTTCTGAGCCAGGGAGGGCCTCCTAAAGCTTCGGTCACAACCCGCCGTACGTGCTTCTGCGTGCTGTCTACGTGCAAAAACGTGGGCAAACGTAGGGCATTCGTGCGTGGTGAGTACCACCTCCGTATGGAATCCTACGGATTTAGGAGCACGCAGACACGCCGTAGAACTTTAAGTGCATGTAAAACTTTTTCTACGTGCGGTCTGCGGATTCACCACCCGTACATGCAAGTACGAGCGACGCGCGTGTCCCGTACGTGCCACACGGAAGAAGCACGTGTGAGTACAAACTCCTTATGGTAAAGTTGCAATCGTACGTTGTAAGCACGTACAACTCACCACTTGCGCAACATACGATGCACGCAACCGCTCACGGCCAGGCATGGCATGCAGACCCAATGCTTACACCTTGCGAAACCATGCGAGTGACGTGCGTAGACGCCACTCCTTCCCCGCGTTTTGAGAAAAAGCTTAGCAGACTTAGCCTCCCAAAAAACGTACGGACAAAAAGCATGTACGGCGGGTTGTGACCGCAGCTTGATAAGTTAATGTAGCTCAGTAACTGTTCATCTGTAATGGTAGGAATTCAGTTGGACTGGAACATAAAAGTTATTCCTTTGTGTTTACAGTTTATATGTTCTCACTTCTGAACCTGAGCAATTGTTCACAGAAAAAGGCTCTGTTTAGGAGAATATATTTCCAAATAGGATAACTGAATTCTTTATCAATGTTGCAGACATACCAAAAGTAGCCAGAATGTTGTTGATACATGTATTTACAAATAACACTCCTCTAGTTATATGTACATTGTAAACAATGCAACTTTTGCAGGCTTTAGGGAAATTTTGTATATTATTGTTCCTCTCATAGATTTCCCCTTACCCATTTTCTCTACATGTATTGAACAACTTGAGATGACTGAAATCAAAGTAGGCTTATAGTATATATTATATTTATGTAATGTAGTAGTTACAATAGTCTCATATTGACTGCTACACGTTTGTCCAAAGCAACAATCTGGCTGGTATACTGAGTATGGAAAAACAGAGGTGTGGAAGTTTTTGTTTTGGCTTTTTTATCATTTAGATTCAATATTCAGAAACAGTACTCTACATCTCTGCCAAATACAGGTCAAGCAGGGAGTTGTTGACTGGGGCCGGGTCAACAAGAAGTTCAAGGCTCTTGGAGGGAACATGAAGAAGATGGAGAACTGTAACTATGCTATTGAGCTGGGCAAGAGCATGAAGTTCTCCTTGGTCGGTATCGGTGGCAAGGACATCTTTGATGGCAATGAGACATTGACACTGGGTATGTTTGAGACATTGACATTGGGTATGTTTGAGACATTGACATTGGGTATGTTTGACACATTGACACTGGGTATGTTTGAGACATTGACACTGGGTATGTTTGAGACATTGACACTGGGTATGTTTGAGACATTGACATTGGGTATGTTTGAGACATTGACACTGGGTATGTTTGAGACATTGACATTGGGTATGTTTGAGACATTGACACTGGGTATGTTTGAGACATTGACACTGGGTATGTTTGAGACATTGACACTGGGTATGTTTGAGACATTGACATTGGGTATGTTTGACACATTGACACTGGGTATGTTTGACACATTGACACTGGGTATGTTTGACACATTGACACTGGGTATGTTTGAGACATATAGTGTTTTACTATAGTGTTTGCTCCCCAGTAATGAGCTACAACATGTAGTACTGAGCTGGTACCGACTAATTGAGGGAGGAATTCTCAACACTTGTGTTCGTCCTTGGAACCAAACGGCTATGATGTAACCTGGTTGGGTAAGAGGTGTATATTTAGTACATATATGTTTGTTGTGTTTGTTACAGCGGTCGTGTGGCCAGCTGATGCGTGCGTACACACTGGCCCTGCTGCAGAACCTGAAAGGATCAGAAGGACCAATCAAAGACAAGGAGATAGTTGACTGGGTCAACACCACTGTGAGTACATGTAGATCATTACAGCCTACTCCAATCTCACCTTTTTGTACCAGTTCTAGGCCAGTGTCACAAACTTTGTACCAGTTAGCGCCAGTTTCATCAACTTTGACCTGTATAGGCATCTCTTATTTTGTGTTGCAGGTGTTACTGTGTTGCAGGTGTTACTTTTGCAGGTGTTACTGTGTTGCAGGTGTTACTGTGTTGTAGGTGTTAGTATGTTGCAGGTGTTACTGTTTT